TCTGTCTCTCTCTCTCTCTCTCGCTCTCTCTCCCCCTTGCCCTTGTAACTCCCAGTGGAGCACAGGCCATCAACAACATTTCTCCAGCGAAGCCTGTCCTGTGCGTCCTTTTCTTGCTGTTCCCTTGATGTCCCCGTCTTTTCCATTTCCGCTTGTACCGCTCGCCTCCAAGTCATCTTTGGTCTTCATCTATACATATTATATTTGTAAAAGTCCGTCTCTTTCGCCGCCTAAAACTTTCGAATTTGAACAAATTAATGATGATTCAGAATCATTTAAAGGGTGCATAGTTTTACTGAGGAGTCTGAAGTCAGTGTAACTTAATTTTCAGTTTTTCAGTAGCTTTGTTTAGGTCTAATCTTTGGAAAGTCTGTCTTCTTAGACGCCATTGTGAACAAGTGAGGCTTCCGTTCACAATGAGTGCGCACTCATTCCACACCTTTGAAATTCTGGAGTATACAACTACGAAAGCTGAATAGATAATCAATCTATGCATCTATTATTTATTTGGCAACTTGAAAACACATGTGTTACTTTTCTCTCGAGATTTATTGCAGCATTCCAGCAGAGTGTAAATATAGTAGACCAATGATATTCAGTTGATGTTAATGCACTGATCATTCATTTCATCGAAAGGAGGCCCCGCTAGTATTTTGATAAAGAAAAAAAAGCAAGTAAAAACAAACACTTTTAAACCCCACACAATGGTACAGAGATAATAGATTCATAGCAAACTTTTTTTTCTGACAAAATAGGATTACCTCTGTTGTATAAAAAATTATAATAGCCTTTAACGCCCATTTATACCCGGGATACACCTTTCAACCAAGGGACAAAACTCTACTTACAAAATACAATTGATGTTTCAAAATTATTATTTCCCCTGTTCTTAGATGTTCTCACAGTTCTCCACGTCTTTACTTCAGTGTGACGTCTGCCTCGAAACCAAAGAGTTATCTCCTGCCTATAATAGTGCGGTCAAAAATTCTTGGCGCAACTTTTCCTCTAATATCTCTTTAACGGGTGACTCAATGTCATTCATACTTTGCATAGCAGTTTGTATCAATTTGTCTTGACTAAATCATATTTTTCCAGAAAAATTGAGGCTAGTTAAAAAAAACTTTTCTTCATAAATTTATATAAAATACTTGAAATCTCTGTCACACATTAAATGGTATTGTTCACAGCACTTCCTGCTTATCACACACATTTTGATTACGTAATATGGCCTGCGTCACAGCTCATCAATGACGCTTTTTAGTGGCAAAACTTGTTACAAGAAATTATTTTTACAGTGAACACTAATGCTTCTCAAAACATGCGTTCAATAAGTGCAATGTCCCGATTAGAAAGACCTGTCGGACTTGCTATTAAAAGCAATATTACCCCAGCTGTAAACATGTAAACATCTGTAGAAACCGCCCACTTGGATTTTGTATTGGTATTTATTAAAGAATTTTCTTGAATACACCTAGCAGACGTTTACAAAAATGTTGATCTATTAAGATAAATTTATACAAGTCATTGTGCAAAAATTGGAGAACCTATATTTGATAGTTGAGAAGATATTAATTTACAATAAGTCGCGCCACGAATTTTTGACCGCACTAGTAGTAATGTAAATGTCTTCTATGCACGAAACAGAAAGTAAAACAGATAACCAGAAACAACGTTCGAGGTTCGAAGATAAGTTGGGTTGTCCTTCGTGGAATACACTCCTTGTCCTCTCCGCATGGTGTACATTTTGTTGTCTTGAATTATTATGTTTCTCATTAGTTCTTCTGATAGAACTCTCCGAATTTGGGGCAAAAAGCAGTGGTGTTTTTTTGGCCTTACACCTAGCTCAAAACTGCTTTCTGCAAGAAAAACATTTTAGTATTTTAGTGTATGTTGTAGTTACAGGCAGACAAGCTATTAAAGGTGTTAGGTAAATAACTCACACATTCACACTTACACACTTACATATTTACACTTACATACACACATTCACACACACACACACACACACACACACACACACACACACACACACA